ACTGCTTCCCAGGGTATGGAAGCCAGCTCTGCGCGATGGTGAACACGCTCTATGCCGTTGTCGCTGTGCTGATGGCCATGAGCTGTGGGACTTTGACGCTGCATTGGGACTGGCGGCTCGAGGCCTTGATCTGGTTCGGCCTCCCGATGGTCCTCGGCCTGCTGGTGGCCTTCCCAGATCTTTTTCAGGCCATTCTCTCGCTTCCCCGGGCCCTTGCAAGAAGCCCACATGCGGGCCCGCAAAGCCTCCAACTGAGGAGCAAGGACAAGAGCCTTCAAAGCTCTGGCTTGGAGGAGGCCGAAACCATGAGCCGCTCCATGTACCGGGATTTGTGCCACCTGTCGCTTTGCTTCGCTTGCACAGTCTTCGCTTACTACGGCTTGAGCTATTCCCCAGACTCCCTCTCCACAAATCCTTTTCTCAGCGCCTGGCTCATCAACGCCTCAGACATACTCGCATGTGTGCTGTCCAGCCGCGCCGGGGCCTTTGGCCGAAACCGAGCGCAGCTTTGGGGCTTCATCGTGGCCGGCGTGAGCCTGATTGCTTGCGCTGTGGGCACCGTGGACAGCGTCTTCGTGAGCCCGAGTTCAACTGGAAAGCCTTTTTGGTTCTTGTGCCGCTTTTCAGAAGGGGGGGTTGTTACTTTTTCCGCCGGGCTCTAAACAACCCGAGGATCTCCATGGCGATCCTGGCGCGGGTGGCCTTATCCGTGGCGTTTGTGACCGTCTACGTGGCCTTGGCGGAGGTCTTCCCGCCGTGGTGTCAGAAGACAGCCCTGCCTACGTGTGAAATCATGGCCCGGGTTGGTGGCTGCTTCTCCCCATCAATTGGGGCTCTGCCAGTGCATCGTAGCCTGCCGCTTTTTGGGTTAGCATGCTTGCTGGCTGCGAGGGCATCCGCAAAGTTGCCAGACAAGTATGCTCCAAAGGAGTTTTGACCCTGATGCGTTTAAAGTGAGGACATGCCCCTCAGACTTAGTTTGAGAGGATCGTGTTTCTCGGCATCAATCATCTAGCTTTCTCCGCGGCCTGGAATTGAGCTGAGCCTGGCTGATGTTCTGTTCTCAGCTTTCTTCCGGATTCCGGATTGTCAGGGGGATCATATAAGGTCAGCGAAGCTGCCATTTTGACATGCCCTTGGCACCGTGATCCATTCTGGGGTGAGACGCGGAGACCCACTGAGCCCTCGCGCGAAGAGCGAGAAAGGCTTCGTCTCAGCGCCTGCGTGGTCTCAAGGGGGGTCCCTGCCCTGCCGCCCAGGTGGCAGTGCTGCTCGAAATCTCCCAGTGCCGCTGCGACTCGGCTTCGGACGGGCAAGGCCAGCAAGGGAGCCTTTGTCAACGTCTGCATTGACATGTTGTGTGTGTGTGTGGGTGTGGATGTGTTTTTGTTTTTGCGCGACATCGAAAAACACCTGCACCCGCCATGTCCATGCCTATTTCTGGCTTTCAGCACTAACTCGTGCCTTCAATGTTCGTGAAGGCTTGCTTGCTTCGTGATGGTGCTCGTGTAGCTCGTGTTGCTGACCAATGCCTGGGCTCGAAATCTGCGAGACAAAAGACTCTTGAGTTCAGGTGTTGTGCTAACTGCGTCACCTACCCTGGGGCTTGTGCCGCCGAGTCCCGCGAGTTCTTGCTGCGCCCGGTCTTATGGCAGATTGGATCGGCGTCGGGAACTTTTGCTTAGCTTACGGCTGGTTTTGGAGTTAGGAGTTGAGAGGGGGGAGACGCTGCTCGCCTTAGGCACCCAGCCCTGGCGTGCGCCCAAAGTCAGTCCTTTGCAAAGCCTAAACCCACTGCGGCCCCGAAGCCCCGCAGGCCTTTGGGATCCTTCGGGCAAATGATGGGCGATTTCCGAGGAGCACGCCGTGTTTGTTGTCGCACTAGTTCGACCGCGGGCCTGCTTCGAGCGCCAAAAACCTGGAAGAACAGAGCCGGGCCATGCTCTTAAGCCGTCAACCGCGTTAAGCAGCTGCCTTTTCGGCTTCGCATCTGTTTCTGCTCCGCCTGGCAGGAGTATTGGGACGACTGGACTTGCGACTGTCCCGATTGCGAGGATGAGCAGTTGCTGCTCGCCTTGGAAGACGTAGGAAATCTCTTCTTGTAGTTATAACTGCCAGTGACATCGGCCCAATTTTTTGACCCAGCGATTGGGCGGATTTAGCGAACCGCAGCACCAGCATCATCAGCATCAGCTGGATTTCCTTCCAAGCTCTCTGTCCGATTTCCCGGCCGTTGAACCCACAAAAAGCCGTAGCAGGTCGACCGATTGGAAGGATTTAGCGAGCCGCAGCGCGAGCATCATCAGCATCAGCTGCATGTCCTTTCAAGCGCTCTGTCCGATTTTCACGCAAACAGCCGTTCCGCCCGATTTCCCACGCACAGCCGCAGCAGTTCGACCCAGTGATTGGCAGGATTTAGCGAGCTCAAGCTCTCCGTCCCATTTCCCCACAAACAGCCGTAGCAGTTCGACAGTGATTGGAAGGATTCAGCGTACCCTGCTGCGTCCTCTCAAGCTCTGTGTCCGATTTCCCCACAAACAGCCGTGGTAAGGACAGCAGTGCCTTCCTGGTCAGATCCAGCCCAGGAGCAAGGACAGTGGACAACTAGTGACAAAAAAATGTCGCGAAAAGAGGACAAGCAGCACATGTGCAAGACTCAAGTCGCAAGACAAGGAGTTCATCATGGAGGCACAAGAAGAGCATGGCATCGACGTCCCGCAGGTCATCATTGTGGACATGGCTACTGGCACAGAATCGGTTGGAACCAGGTGGACAAGTGAGGCCTCTGCAGTCCATGCACTACCTGTTGGTGGCAGTGACCCACTAGCTCTCTTCAACTCTATCCCCCCACTTGCCAACAAGTATGGCTGGGTTGGCGGTGTCACAGGTACATTGGGCCAATCACATTGTTTTGACTTCTACGCCAAGGTCTACAACTCACGATGCTCCTTTCAGCTGCCGCGGAATGTTCCCGGATGTATCTACCAGCTGAGGCCAATCATCTCCCGCTCCAGTGCGCAGTGGCTTCGAAACATCGAAAAGTATATACTGAGCTGTACCTCAACGGAGATCTGTTCGAGAGCATCACGGCCTGTGCTGGTAATCACAGAGACTATTCTGAAAGCCGAGCAGGTCTCAAACCACTTGAAGGCTGCCGGGTATCCGATCATGAAGCAAAATCGCGAGGGCAGGTGGTCTCATGAGGGCGGAACTGCAACGAACAGTGCTGCCCATGTCTTCCCCTACGTCAAGTCCAGCCCTGATGCGTCCATCGTCGTAGCGTCTAACAAGGGTGGGCGTGGACTGGATCTGCTCGACGGGAGATGCCCTCCAGGTTGACCCTCCTGTGCCCCATTTGTGATCACGGAGGTCTTGAACGAGAGAAGACGTCCAAGCGACGGGCCGCTGTGGACGAAGCGGGAAGCCGGGGTGAGACAGTGATACAGTATCAGTTGCTCATTGATGACATCACCACAAAGTGGCGCATGTTCTGCAGGTGCAGAACAAGAAGGCGCAGGAGGAATCAGGACAGCTTGTCAGCAAAACAGACTGGGTGGCCGATATGATGCAAGATGGGCGGCTTCGGGAGAAGTTTGTGCGTTGGAAGGAAGTCAAGCTTCGCTATTGAAGAATCTCTTCCCGGAAAGCTTGAAGGGTCTGCCGGCCCAAGAAAAGGTGCAGCAACGACTTGCCAAGTACCTTGAGGACTTCGCCGTCATGGGGGAACCCTCGCGGAGTAAGGATGACACCATCTATCACTTTGCAGGGAGAGTACTGGCAAGCCGAATGGACTGGGAATGCCGCCTTGCTCTTAGCTGCCATCAAGGCGAAGCGCGGTGAACAGGGAGTTGATCGGGCCCTGCAGTCCAGTATCGAGCACTTGAAGATTGAAGGACATTCTTTGTGTTGCCCAAGACAACCCTTCTTGGACCTTTCAACCCCGAAGCCCTGGAACCCTGGACTCTCTCGAGATCCCCTTGAAGCCTCTAAAGCCCAGGGCCCTCCTCTGAGCCGAGATCAGGATGAGCTGCGCCTTGAGTCTGTGAAGATTGTGAACTCCGACTCTTGGCTGGTTTGGGGTTAGGAATTTAGGGTCTGTATGCGTGGGGGTTTTCAGGGCTTTCAGGGTTTCACAGGCTTTTACGAGTTTGGGGGGCGGGGGTGAAACACTGAATGTTACACATCCAGGTGCCTGTCTGTTTCAGGTATCACTTGCATGTATCTATGCTTGTTGCTCAAGGTTCTAGCCGAGTACTGATCTACAGCTCTGCGCCTGTAGTAAAGACACACCTGTGTGTGGCTGTGTTCCTGTATGCTTTGCGAGGGGATACACTCCCAGGTTACATATCAATGTGGTAACGGAGCTCCCGGAAATACCCTGTGTGCTTCACACTTGTGAAGGTGACCGGAGACTTTCCGGTATACTTCGCACTGGTAAAGACAACGGGAAGAGTAAGCTCCCGTTGCTCGATTTGCGGATAGTGTAATGGCTAGCCATTCTGCGATACAATTTGAGCATGGCGATGGAGATGATGAATACCTCCTACACGGAAGTGACTCCTATGCGACAAACCATCGACATCCCCAAGAGTTACAGCGACTTTCAGCATTTCACCAGCTGACCACAAAAGTACCGCCATCTTATGATGATTATGATGGGCGAGGAAGTTGGTTTGCCTATGAGGACGCGATCGATGACTGGTGTGACATCACAGAGCTAGACAATGACAAAAGAGGACCAGCTTTGCGAAACCGTCTTGAAGATGAAGCTGCAATCCACAAGCGGCTTCTGGACAGTGATCACGGATTAAGCTACTTCAAGAGCTTCCTGCGGCCGCTCGTTGTGAAGGGCGCAGCCAATGTGTTTCTATACCGCTTCCACAGTTCATTAACTTGCACCGCGGAAATGTAGACATGCTTCGTTGGATATTACCAGGTTTCAACTCTCTGTTCAAAGGATGCAAGAAGCTTGGAACGACACCTACCTTCCGATCACGGATCTCAACAACGCAGAAGTCAGAGCTTTCGTAGAAGGACTTCCACCCGAGGAACAAGCGGACATCATCAACGACGAGGCGATGAACAGAGCCAATGAGAGGGCTCCGAGACCAGCATGCTAGAACTATTCCGATTACGCCCAACTTGGTTGCCCTCATCTTTGTGTCCCTGTCCGATCTTACGCAAGATCCGGAACCGCGTGTTGGCCAAAGGAAAGAAAGGAAAGCAAAGGACAAGGCAAGTATGAAAAGGATGGAAAATCCGGTTCCAAGGACGGAGCAGCTCAGCTTGCCGATGCTGCCCAGAGAAGTACACCAACGGTGTCTGCCACAACCTTCTTCGTTGACCACACGAACCTTTCCAACTTTTCGTTCATGGCCACTGAAGAGAAGCAAGCATTCATCGCGCAGCCCCTGACACCGACTGCGATGGTGTGGGACCTTGGTTGCACGAGAGCGATGACTTGTCGGCCATCGGCGCAGGACCTGATGAAGTTCTGCGATCAGAATAAGGACTGTGGCATTTGGTACAACATCGCTGAGACCACGTCTCAGTTCACCTTCGCCAACTCCG